TTAACATGCTCAGTTTTTCTAATGTTAATTGGACCAATGCTATAGTAATTTGATTGTTGAAGTAATCCAGATTGAACTTTTTATCACAACAAAATGGTTATGTTTATCAAAAGCTCCAGAACAGCTTCTGAATTGACCTTAGACTGTCGATCTATAAATGAATAAAAATCTGTAATTATATATGCTGGTTCAGGAGAGAAGCTACTGCGAGCTGTAGTATTCAGGATCATTCATACATGTATTATGATGTTGTAAACATGGAGCACGAACATGAGGCTGGTTTCTTACATGGTTTCTAAAATAAGCTGTCTTTGTCTTGTCACAGGAACAAAAGCTCCACATATAACTTTGTCAGACAGTCAGTGTTTTGTTTGTTCTCTAGTGACTCTTGTTTGCATTAAGCCAAAAGCAAAATAAATTGGCTCCCTATCATCAGTATTACAAGGCAAACGGAAGACAGCAGCACAAATCTGATGTTAAACAAAAGCCTGTGTATGACAAGCGGTGTCGTGATACAACCCGTTATCCATTTATAATCATCATAATGGAAAGCTTCCAGTCGCAGTAAGCTGTTCTACTACTGAGTAGTAACAGCTGTACATCCATGAAGTATTGCATGTCAGCAAGATGCACACAACGGTGGAGGCAGTGTGTGAATTCCTTGTGACATGCTTATTGTGTGTACTCATGCCGGCAGCAAAGATTCAGCGAATTAACCTCGTCTTCTCTCGTCTCCCCTCAGTGCTTTCAGGGCAGCCTTCTGTTGATCACGGGTCTGTGTGACAAGACCTCACTTTCAGAACACGTGTGCTCCAGAAGGAAGAAGAACATGGAGAAAAATTTGAGGAACGTGTCGCTGGACAACAGCTGCTTTTATGTAAGCTGTGAAACCAAAGTCAAAAAATGATCTTATTCTAACAAAAACCACATTATGATGACATTTATTGACATGTTTCCCTTAATAATAGTTATTCAACAAAAACAAATTTGATATACAATTTACCTTGTTTTTGGAAGAATTTTAATTGTAGATCAAAACATAGAACAGATCCTGAAAAGGCTGCAGGTTTGTTCGACTCCAGATAAATGTCTGCAGATCACACATAACTGTACCTTGAGTATTTTTATATTCTGCTACTTTATACTTTGGCTTTGCAACATTTTAGAGAAAAATATCGTACTTTGTACTCACTACATTTATTTGATCATTTTAGTTACTAGTTACCTTTCAGAAAGAAGTTATAATCACAAGATTTATTAACCCTTGGTATAAAATCCACAAGCTACCCAGCAGTACTTAATTATAAAAATGTAAGGTACTGTAGTTAAAACTAGCTCCAACTTTACTAACTACAGTATTAAATGCGAGGTACACAATAATACATCAATAATTATAATCAAATAATATAATGTACATCAATGTAAACTGTGCCATTTTGCATAATCAGTACTTTGGTACTTTAGGTATATTTTCTGCTAATGCTAATGTACTTTTACTTAAGTAACATTTTGAATGCAGGACCTTGTAGCAGAATCTTTTTACACTGTGCTATTGCCACTTATACTTAGGTAAACAATCCAAGTACTTTTTCCACCACTGAATGATAACTTATGGACAAATGATGACTTGATGGTGTCTGAAGTTGTGAGGTGAAGCCACAAGTATCACATAAATACAGCTAAAGTGGCAAACTCATTTCTTTCTGCTGCGTTCACTCTAACAGCAAAACAATATAACACCTTCATTTTTTTGCAAAGACATTTATCCTCAATACCAGACTTGAAGAGAAGCTGAAGGTTTAAAATCACCCGAGACATCTCATCATGGGCAGAGAGTTCAATCTGATCACTTGTTGACATGTTTGTCCCTGCTGAGATCTGCAGGCAGTCAGAACCATCTTGTAAGGTGTTGTGTACCTGTCAGGAATGAGCCTTGTTTTGGAAGATACAGACAACATAATTCATCAGGCCGAGGGAGGGTCTCTTGAAGAATGGAGAAGTGACAAAGTCGATTCTTTTGAGAATAATGATGGCTGCCAGCGTGCTGAATGGATGGAATGTCTTTTAGGATCTGTCAAAGCCCTTTTCCATAGCTGTAAAGCCCACAGGTGTGATGTGCTTCACCATCGCTGTTGTGCCAAAGTATCTGAAATGTTGAAACATTTATATATGACTATTGAATTTTTTGTGGAATCTGTAAATTAGCTGTTCTTTCATTTCAGTTCCATTTCTTTTATTTACTCAAATGTTTCCACTTTTCTATTTTCATTTTCGCTTGACCAGAAAATGGGTTTGATTCTGCCTTGTGTTTGCATATGTTTAATAACGACCTCTGCACGTTCCAGTTGCGGTTTGGATATGTGCTATTTAGGACCTACGATAAGGTAAATAGGTTATACTTGTGGTGCTGTGGTTCCTCTCACAAATTCCTCATTATTTTGAACTATTTCTGGTTTTGGTTGCCAGGTTTGAATGTCAAATGTCGAATTTATTTCATCTTGAGCTGCGCGAGAAACCACTGTCATGTGGTTGGGTTTAGACCCTTGGACAGTGTGACGAGTCTCATTCACATTCTGTCCAAACCTGACATCATTTGCATGAGAATAAGCCCAAACTCTGCAAACGTGACACGTCCCAGACAAGGGATCACAACTTGGCTGTCATATTAGGCCGGTAAATTCAGGTGACATGGATCTTGTGTCCTCATCTGGGCCAACCTGACAGTGGTTCATGTTCTCTGCTGTCTTTTCTGAGGGGCTTTGTGAGGGGGGGATTGCTTTTAATCAGCATGACAAACCCTGCCACCCTGCACACACACACACATATATGTGAGAGTGGGCATATAGTGAGGGGCAGTGGGCTGGCCATTGTGCCATCATTAGTCCAAGCCTCCACGGCAAGCTTCTGACACATGTCGAAGGAGCTTCATTCGACCTACAGAAGGTGCATCCGCATTATGCAAAGGTAGCAGTGTCTTTATGTGCTGCACTACTGTCAGAGGCTTGAAGGAAGAACTGAGGAGGGAAGTGCTAGGGCCTGGGGGGAGAGAGAGGGGAGGAACAGACAGAGAGAGAAAGAGAAGCTGCAAATCAATACAAGA